GAGATCTCTTCATACCCCGTCATAATAATGGGTAGGTTGGTCTTTTTTAATAGCATGTAGTCCGTGCCGAGCGCGATACGCGGCCTCTGCATGTACCACCCCTGGGCCGACCCATTAACCTTCAAAAAATAAGTGCCCAACGAGATTCAAACCCAACACCTATACCCTTAGTACAACCGCAGTAACCAACCAGACTATTTTCTTTTTGTGTCTAGTCACCTTCTTTTTTCTTTTTTAATTGCAACACTAACCAACACGAGTCTACTTGATTTTTTTTTTGGTTTTTGTTTGGCCAATTTTCTTCTATTTTTTATTTTTCTCTTTCTTTTTTTAAAAAGAATTCACGAATTTTCCCTTAAATCTGTGAACTTCAAATTCGTGAACATTGTTTTCAAATCCGTGAACTTTTTTCCAAATCCGTCAACATTTTTAAAATTCATGATCTCTTTTCAACTTTTACGAACTTTCCTTTAAATCTCAGGATCTTCTTTCAAATTCAAGAACATTTTTCTGAAAATTGATGAACTTTTTTCAAATCCACGAATGTTTCGGCTGGCCCCACAGGCGCCAGACGGGAGTGATGCAGTCGCCTCTTACATTTTATAAACATTTTTCTAAAAAAACGTGAACAACTTTTAAACATGTGAGTCTTTTTAAAATGTCACAATCAATTTTTGAAATGCGATGAACTTTTCTACAAATAATTTGAACATTGTTTTTATATTTTCATGAACATTTTATAAAATTTCACGAAATATTTAAACATGAGAACATTTTTGAAAATATACGACTTTTTTGGTTAGATGATATGAACTATTTTAAAAATTAAGTTAACAAATTTGCACTGCACATTTTTTAAATACACCGTGAATTGTTTTTAAAAAATTAAGCAAATGCTATGTCTAGTTACTGTGAGATGGTACTAGCGCTCGCCTATAGAGTTCGCCCGAGTGGGCTAGTCCATTAGGAGCTGTGCACGTGGGTATTTTTCAAAGCTTCCCTAGACCGGCACAGACCGGTGTAGGAACCTTCCGCCCAGTTTTGGGAAGGTTTTAAGTTTTATTTTTATTTATGTTTTTATCAGTTTATAATGAATTACTTTTTTTTCAGTTTTCTCTTTTTTTTCAAATTTTCAAATACATGTCAACTTTTCTAAAATTCAAGTTAATCATTTTCTCTATACGGGCTGGACATTTTCTAGACACATGTTAAATATTTTTTCAAAGACACGATGAATATTTTTCTGAATACATGTTGACCATTTGTGAAAAGCTGAACTTTTTTTAATACCCAATGAACATTATTAAACACAGGTTGAACTTTTTTCAAAATCCTGTCAACATTTTTTTCTAAAATTGTGCAAACATTTCAAAACAGTTTATCAACATTTATTGATAGAAGTTTGCGAAATTCAAAACATGTATTCATTTGAAAAGTACTTGACGGATTTGAAAAAACTTCATGAATTTAAGAAAATGAAAAAGAAAAGAGAAATGAAAATAGAAAAAAACGAAGAAAAAAAGGCAAAACAAAACAAAAATAAAATAAAACTAGACTGAGGAGATGCCAACAAGAAGAATAAAAGAAGTAACTATTCACAAAAAGTGAGCTGTCCCAGTTGATTACAGCGGGTGAAAGTAGGCCGCGCTTTTAGATGTTTTGCTAGTAATTTAAAATGTCTTATATTTATTTACAGAGGGAGTATAGATTAACAAGATTATTTGGCTACTAGGGGACCTATGCCCCCCCTCCCCCCTAAATTCTAAAGCGCGGCCTACAAATTTATTTTTTCTACCGGTGCAAGTTTGTTGGCTTTCGGACACGCTGCTGGCGAAGAGCAAGATGCAATTTGACAAGACTATGAGGTACACGACACCACGAACATCATTTGGGGAAACAACAAGCTGTTCTCCAGGGTTGTCACATTTTAGTTCTCAAGCTGATGCTTGTGAACCACAATGTGGTGACGACCTAGGGTTGCAATTGACCAAAACATGACATTGGTTTCTTGTCCAAAATTGCAGCGTGAGGGCATGGCGACAGCGAGGACCTCAACAATATTGAGACGTAGCTTGATCGCCCGTGGGTGAACCACTCCCACGTCATGTTTATGCAGAGTTACCTTGGCGAGCTCGTGGAGGGTAGGGATTGGGTGGACTGGAAGGGTTGGGCGCCCTTGAACAAGGACAGGTGAAGTCGGCCGCCGTGACGTTCACCTGTAATACATGGAATACAGGAGCTATGGCCCCTGGCTACCTCCAAGGTGAAGCGTCGCGTCAAGTGGAGTGGCTATCACCGTGTCATCCATGCCCGCGACGCTGCCAAGTACACCGTCGAGCGCTTCATCACCGGAAAACAGTGGCTGCTTGACCGTCAGGTCTTCTTCAAACCTGCAAGTAGCTAACTAGCTCGATCGTTCAGCAGCCAAGTGACTAGTACAACCTGTTCCGAATTATAAGACATCTGAATATTTTAATATAAATTATATATGGACTAAAACGAGCTAATAAACACACTAAAATATGTCTATATACATTTGATTTAGAAAAAGAAATAGAATATCTTATAATTCAGAATGAAGGGAGTATGCCAACTAAGTGAAATGTGTATGTCAAGTCATACTAGCGACCATATTGAGGCGCTTAAGCTACTTTAGTAATTGTATTTAGGGTACTCTGAAGTACAGTGACCAAAGTGAGACACTGACTCGAATCCAGTGACTATAGATGAAATTTTTCTCTTTAGTTATCTTGCAAAAGTATGTGGATGCAGTCAATAGTGGTTTTGTTGGGCAATAATGGGCATAGTTTGCTTTTCTTTGTAAGTACGAATAGCAATGTCAGTGAAAATGTGAGTGTAGGA